TGTATATTTTAATATTATTTTATTATTATTATTCATATTTTTGGTTAACACTCCTATAGCAAAATCGGCTAAGTATTTTACACCAAAACCTAGACAGATATACTGTATGAAATGCTGTGAATCTCCATGACTTATTTAAAAGTTGATTATTTTTCATTGAAAGTTGATTTACATGGCTATAAATACATAATATATGTGATGGTGTTGTGAGTGCTTTCTTTGTACTTCATGCTTGTTAAACACGTGTTTACATGAAACCTCAGGCACAAAACCACCTGGCTTAGTAAATAATGGTTGGTTAGAAAAAAAGCCAATGCAGCAGTAAAGTGTTTAAAAACATGTAGCATTCAACTGAATGCTTATTCACATATTTAGGTTAAAACTTATTCTCCATAAATGGACATAAAAAACTTGGGAAACAAGATAATAAAAATTGGTTCATTTAAAAAGAGGAATAGGGATCATAAAAAAAGTATAGAAACAAGTTGGTTATCTTCTGATCAATGCATTTGCAACATTGGACAATCATCATCTTAGACTTTCTTGGTATCCAATTCCAGACCTATTTTGGTGTAATCTTTGGAAAAATGTTTATTTTTTTCAATGCCTATCCTCCTCTTTGTAATCTTTCTTAGGTACTTGCCAAGATCAGTTCATCAGATTTGTATGTTCTGCTTGTTGCTCAAAACTGGTTTCCAATATTACATTGTCTATCTGAGGGGATTCCGTTTTATTACTACTTGCTTCATGTAGGAGAAAATCTGGAATTTATAACCTTAATGCTTCCCATACACTTTCTTTTAATATCTAGGAAGACTACTTATATCCTGATAAAGCTTTCCTGCCAAATACTTGAGAGAAGGTAACCATTGTTACTTTCCCAGACCTGCCTAGCTTTTAGGTGAAGAACATTTTCTGTCTTATTCATTGCTCTATTGTACAAACAGAGTCTTTCAGAGGGGCTCAAGACAACTTATTTATACTTTACGATGAATCTTGTTCCATAAGTCCTACTCCATCCATGAATTGGCTTGTGCATCTGTTTTATCTTACTTATTATGATATACCTGCACACCTTAACCCTTTCACAATGGGGTGACATCATCTCGACTGAAGAAGAAAATTTATGCAACAGCATGTATGGTAACTCTGAGATATCCTCACAAAACCTGGAAATATTTTCTTAAAGATGATAAATATTTTGTTCACAAGAATGACATTATTATAATTATGTCTTTCTAATACAAATATGTTATTTATCAATAGTAGTTATTTGCACTCAAGCTATTTAGAGTTTCAGTGCAATGTGATTTTCATTTTAAGTATAAAAATACTTTTC